GTTGTTTTTATTAATAAAATAAAAAGTTTAATATATGACAACTATTTCCATTTAATTATAATAATTCTTAAGTGGTCTTTCATTTATTGAGAGGGACTGTATACTTAATAAAATAAAAAGTTTATTATGTAGTAACTTTATGTTTAAAAAAATTTTCGGATTTTTTCGAAAAACCCCCGTGTATCAAATTTTCTTTTATCAAGTAAACCGGGACCCGGAAAAATTTTGATTTCAATTAATACTTCGATCATCAACATACTGTATATACTGTAGGCTATTTGTACACAATTTTTTTATCGAGAGTTGAATATGGCGAGCAAATAATTGATCCAATTAACAATTGCGTTACAATAAATAGTTCTGGCAATTTTTGGTCCTTTACCTCCCAAGTCTAAATAAATTCTGATCTGATTTTTTTTTGCTTCGCAGTTATAAAAGGTCGAAGAATTCTTTGCTGTATCCTTTATCCTCTTCGTGATAATAATTAACGAATTAAGGGAATAAAATATTTAATATCGCCTACGTATATCAAATAAACAATTTCTTGAATAAAAATTTCCAAAAAATAATCATCACAGAACTTAATTTTCCAATCGGATTTTCTTTGCATAGATGAATTCATTTAACATCTTGGAAAACATGCCTTTTATGGCTTTAACTGCTTCTTTGGTTTTCTTCCTCATGACAATATTCCCCAAACATGTTTCTCTTTGTATGGGGATTGGTTTCTTTTTGTACCACGCCGTGCAAAAGCTCACTAATATTACTGCAGAAATCGGGAAAATCAAGACCGAAGTTAATGATCTTACCGCAAAAATTAATTTGTGATGCTAATTACATAGCAGAAGCACAAATATTATTCCTATAATTAATAATCTAACCGGGAAATACCGTATAACGAAATTGAGCGAACCTACCATAATAATTTTAATCAAATTGCCACCGAACTCGAATCAATCAATAGAGGTATCGCGACGTTCCAAGATGGAATTAATCAACGACACCGCACTTATCCAAGCGTGGGTAGAAGAGGATCCGATCAACGAAGTGAAGCATCCCCCTCTATTCACTCATCATCTTCCACTCGATTATCTCCAAATTCCCCAACAAATTCAATTCACAGATATTACCTTAACAATTTTGTCCCGCTTTAAAGAAGTCTTCAATAGAGTCATAGCTGAAAGAAATTATACATTTGATGAGGTGAGTTATGTGGCAATGCATTCGTGAACTTGGAGGGAATATCAGGCAGACGACGGTTAAAAGTTTTTATAATACTGTAGAAGTATCGATTTGTAAAGCTAATTAAATAGGTAAATGGTTAGACAATATGGGTAGGGAAAGGAACTGCCATTTCTTTACAATGTAAAATTCCTCCGTCCTTTTTAAGACTGATCATGTAATACATGCACGTGAGAAAATTGGCAAATAATAATTCGAAAAAAAAAAAACGCCATTTTGCTTACGTATCTCTTACGCGAAAGACTATGTCAAATAAAAATAAAATACACGAATATTTCGATACCACATATTCCCAATGGAATATTTGTGATTTTTTGAATGAATGTGATTTAGAACCATTTGGACAGAAAATAGCATGTTATATTAGGTCTCTTGGGATCATAGTTAGTTGTGAGACAGATCACAGGCGCGAAAGAGCAAAGGAACTGCTCGATAAATATAAAGAGTCGAGTATAATAGCTTTTTTCTGAAAATGCAGATAGAAAATAGGTGGCGTGTCTAGGATCTACGAATCCTCTGACATTCAAGGCTTCGACCGAGCCACGAAGCCAGTGTTGGAGCGTATACGACCTACGAGTCGTCTTACGTTCAAGGCTTCGACCGATCTGACACTGGCCCTGCTGGGGCGTATATGTCCTACGAGACATCTTACGTTCAAGGCTTCGACCGACCCGGCAGGATGAAAAAATAAATAATCGTGTTAGTCGAGAACATTACTAATTTTTGAAAAAATTTCATTCAGGGTACTCGACCAGATCGCTGTCTGGCAAGAAATTGGGATAATAAGCGTAAGTCAGTTGAAAGGTTGAATGAACCCTCAATTAATGCCCATAATCCAACATTTATAGGTGGGACTGTTAGTGGGATTATATACTCTGAAACTTTCACTGCTGGACCATTAGAAAAGGATCAGAAAAAGGCACGGGGGTGTATTTTTATAAGTAAAGGTATTAAATGTTACTGCTAATATTTTTGTGCCATATTCATGATACTGATTGTAATTTACAGGATCCAGTGGACAATATCAACGCCTTATTCAAATATTCTTCCAGTGTAAAGTCCACAAAATTTCTTGAGAAACTGCGGAGATTAAGTGACAACTCAGAAATAATAAGCGACGACAACGATGAGGAGGATAAAGTATGGCCATCGCAATAAAGTAGATTGGTAATATCTATTATCAAATCTGAATTGCTGGACTCCTTTTCTGTATCTGACGATAATAATTCGGACTACATACCAAGGTATTGTGTGATTATCCTTTGAATGAAATTCTTCAATTTTCTTAGACTACAATTTATTCCCTTTGTAATACAAGCGACACTGATGAATCGACTTTCGAAGAATCAGCATCTGATACGTCTGACAATGGTGTGGGTCAATTTGCATTTTTCGCAAAGATCCCCTAGCTTTCAATGTAGATAGCAAGTTCACAGAAGGGGGAATAAGATCCTTTCTCAAATTTCTAGTAGCGAAATATCAGCACAAGGTAAGAAAAAGCTTATTATTATAAGTATTAACCCTCGAATATCTGGATTGGCATTCCAAATTAACTGATTTGCCAACCACTATATCCGATAAACTTTGTTCCAAGTTGTATAAAATATATAAGAAAAAAAACTGGGCTTGATACTACTAAACTGATTTTTACATTTCACACTTTATAAATCCAAATCTGGTTATTTTCTTTATAAAAACGTTTTTGCCATGTCTCGTAGCTAAATAAGGTTAAGATAAATGAAGAAAATATTTTTAAAAGGGCAGTATATTATGTTATAGCTTTCTCGTCGCTTTATAATGATTTTATCCAGCTAAATTCTTTTTTATACGTTTTTAACATAGTAAAATGACTATCAATACTACGTTATTCGAAAAGGTTTTCAATTTTCTTCGTGAATCTCATTTAGAACATATTACTGCAGTCTCCGTAGTCCATCAAGCAATCGAAGAAGAGCCATTATACTTAAAGGAAGATTCGAGACGATTGATTTATATTGTAATTACGTTCATAAAGAATCTTTATGAAGAGGATTCGAAAAAATATAAGAAACTCTGTGAGATTCCTTTTAAGGTTAGTTTTTTACTCTTGGAATCTATTTTTATCGCCAAATGATGAATAGTGCAGAATCTTGATAACCGGAATTGAGTAGATATCCAAAGCCTGCAAGCACAGGTTTAATTAATTGTATAATTCCTTAGACGCATGGAGATATTTTCTTAATCTTGGTAATTAGATTAAGTAGATATCCAAAGCCTGCAAGCACAGGTTTATTCAATATATTAATTCCTTAGACGTACGGGGATATCTTTTTAATTTTGGTTTTAGATAGATAATTATAAACAAGTTATGTAAATTATCACCTATGTGCTGGCCACACATAGTTGTTGATTTATATAACATAATCTGATAGCTGCGCGCATATATTTTATTATAAGTTTTTAGAATAATCAAGTATACTAAATATAATTTATTTTTCTGCACTAGTTTGATGACGCCTTTGATGGGTGTGTAGCCTTCGAGATAACAATTTAGCGAGACGGGTATAACAGGTGTCCATTGAAGAGATTGAAACGAATTTGCGAAAATTTCCCCCTTCACATTAAAAATATATGTAATGTATTTGTGGTAAGTTATAATAATAATAGCATGTATGAGGAAGTGCCTATTAAACTTTCACATAAGAGTTGGAATGAGTCAGAAGAAGTTCTTGTGGAGGTCGCGACTGGAATTCTCGATATAATGTTAGTATAATTATGTTCTTTTATTTTGAAAAATCATTGATCACCTTTTCTGTTATTTGAACTAGTGGAGGTGCCTGGAAGAATCCAGCATTTTGGGAGAAATCCACAAAATCACAAAGCGAAAGGACATATATGACAGATATTATAGTCCCTTTAGTGAAAGCTTCATTAAAAAACTACCAATAAAGAATTCCGCTTTTGTTAGCACGTAAGTATATTATTTACTTTTTTTTGGACAATCTGCATTAATATATCTTATTTGTATAGAGCGGAACGACAGAGCATAGCAAGTAAAGATCGACGGGGAAAACTGGAAAACGCCCTGATATTATGTTCATGGTAAAAAATATATGAATTAATGTTTTCCTAATGCTCTGTCTTTTTTGTGATAAAGAGAAGGAAGATAATGATTGGGTAAAATTATGGAGAGAAATGAATAATGGTATGTATTGGGTGTATAAAGGATGCAAGCCGAAAAAAGAAGAAATTGGAATTATTGCAATACAAGTTGCTGGACAAAAGCTTCATCTGTACGTTCTCATTCGGGAAGGAGTTGGGATAAATAGGCTTTTTAGACTAAGTTCAGTGGATATCCCGATACAATTTACAGATAAAGACACTGTATATAACTTTGTGGAGGCGTTGTTGCTATTTCGGGTATTATTTAATTATCAATATGTGCTTTCTATATAATATAATATACTGAATCTAACTATCTCTTTTTTTCCTAATCGTTAATCTATCTTTATTATTAAATGCGGATCATGGTTTACATGGATATAAAGAAGACAGTCCAACAGTATCATCTCTGAAAATTAGATTTTATTGGCAATGCAATTTTTTTAATATATCATATTAATAAAGCCGCAAAAAAATTTTTTTCTGATAACCATCACGTATTATTTATTGGCATAATGTTCATAGTATAATCCGCTAAAATTTTTTTTTCTGATACAGTAATCATCACGCATAATGTAATCCGCTAAAAATTTTTTTCTGACACAGTAACAATCACGCATTACAGTATTTATTAGCATTATGTTCATAGTATGATCCACTAAAATTTTTTCCTGATAACCATCACGCATTATTTATTGGCATAATGTTCATGGTATAATCCGAAATTGATTCGTGTGTATAATACAGTAGATTGATTAATATACTCAACATGGCATTACGGAATTTCTATATATTACATATAAGACACGGGTTTTATTCTTAGCACAATAAGACGCTTCTAATGTTTTTATGACAATTTTGATAATTTTGATCAAGTTTATTACTGCAGTTATCATAAGTAACGCATCACTTGATTAAAAAATTTTAAAGTTGATTTTTTCTTTAATTATTTAGAAAAAAAGTAAACGTACCTTATAATATAAATTTGAAATTATCGTTTAGCTATTTTTTTTATTTTTTAAAAAGTCCTTGGGCAAATTTTTAATTTATATTTTTACTTGCAATTCATTAAATACTTAATTAAATAAAATAAAATTGTAATATATTATATATTAATAACCAAATTTACTTGATAAATTTTTATTTAATATATTATTAAATCTTGTTAAAATAAATAGTTATATCAAAAAAAAAAATTTTTTTTTTTTATAGTGGAATGTGTGCATGGTGTGTAATCTTTATTGATACATTTATATATCCAGATAGACACCAAATGTCTTTACAAATTAACCGACGATCGGTTGATACAGGATACCCTTTATGTCTCTGCAGTTGATCTGCAAGTTAACACTGCCTAGTACATATATATTACTATAAGACTAGCTATACTAACTACTATTACCCAACTATATGTCCATTTAAATATCAAGAAGATGTGTCCACATGTCAGGTGGGACTTTTGTAGGGAGAAATCCTACCACTAGTTTAAACTCACTTAAACCTGCTGGTCCATTATTGCATGGAGCAGTGTATATGAAATATTATTATAGAGACTAACTCCAGAATTCCAATTTTCTGTTATCACTGATCCTCAGAATGTGTCACTAGCATAACATCACACTACCATTTTCACCACCTGTGTAACTGGCGTTCTTACTTGAATTCCGATTTAATCTTGTAGAACCTCACTAGACTCACTTGGCTTAACGATTTTTGTCTAGTTTTTTCACCACCTGTGGCTGATAAAAAAATTTTTTTTTTTTAAATATTAATTTAATTTAATTATATATAATAATTTTAATAAAATAAAAAAAAAATTAATTAATTAAAAAAGAACTCTTTCCCAAACAAATTTGCGTCTAAAAAAAAACTACCAAAAAAGGAAACCAAAAATTTTTTCTTTAAAAAAAACAGTAAAGGACCCTGGAGGATCTTCTTCATCCTCCAAGGGTCAACCCATCAAACCAACTTATACTCTACTTGATGTTCTTATCACTGATGTTGACAAATGCCTAGCCATAATTTTTCATAAAAACAACAGCACCAACATTGTATACACTACCCCTCTCACTGCCAACATTCGTCTCCCAAAATTTGAAAACCCTTCTAAAGCATGGTTGACACCAGTACGCCTTCAAGAAAATGGCCACGAAGTTCTTAAAGTAATCTCAGTCTCCTTCGAAGTACATAAAAAAAGACTTGGAAACTACTACACTGAAGTCAAAACCAATATCATAAACCCTATGTCACTAGAAACAATGAACTCCTTTTTTGAATATCAACATATCTTTAACTTATCTGACAGTGATAAAGAAGGAATAATGAAGACACTAATCAAACAGAAACTTACTTACAGGCTTCATGTCTCTTGGAACAAAATTGATATCAATATTGACGAAGTAGCCAAAACCTTTTCCTTGGAGCGAAAAACCGAAATGCCCACACCCCCTCCAAACACTCCTGCCCTAATTGGGGAAAGGATCAACGACAATAGCATGCAGCTTGATTGTGAACCTGAAACAGCAAATGCAACTACCCCTGAGCACAGTGACAATCATTCCAGCCCATATGCAGCAACTGAAGATTATGCAACCTCTTCTGAACATGACAATAATCATCACAGCATGCATAAAACCAACACAGCCCAAGCATCGATTGACAACACCACAGTGTTCAATACACTCTTGAGCACAAACATCCCAACACAAACTAGCTCCAATATGGAAATTGATGAACACCCTTCCCCTATCCAATTAGTTAAAACCTTGAAATCTCTTCCCAACTCATGGGCAGAAGAAATCAATAAGTTTTTCGAATTAACACAGGTCACAACACCTATTGTAAACAACATTAGAGATAACACACCTCCTGATAAACAGGAAAAAATTCTAGAGCTATGTGAAGAATTTAACAAATGTGTCAGGACTTCCAAAGCCATCATTGATCTGTTTCTAAAAATCAAAGCTGACCTAACTGAATCCCCTAAAACAATCCTAAAAGGCATTTTTTCCAAGATTAAGTACAGGGATTGTGACTTCTTTAGAACATTTGCCAAAGACGAGCTGATCAAAGGACAACACCAGAAAGAATACGAGTCCATTGAGGAGAAATTTCATTCCAACTATTGCAAAGCCAACAACTTGGGATACATCACAAGATCAATTAAAAACAAAATCAAAAAACTAATCAACAAAGCTCTCTTCATCGCTTATCTCAGATCAATAGATCTTACTCTTCTCAAATACTGGCAAGTAGCTCAGCTGCTAGAATATGGCTTTAACTTTTTTATAGATCCAACTTTGGAAAAAGTGAACTACTAGGAACTATACCAAACCTGCGAAGCAATGATTCAAAAAAACTTACTTGAACTTCCTGAGGACCCAAAAGACATCCCTATAACAATAATTGTCAGACTACCTAAAGTCATTCCAATTACAAAAGCCAGTGACACTAGTGAAGTCACAAGTAGTCTCAAAGCCTTCTACAACTTTGACTTATTATCTATCTCCTACTTCGCAAAAAGACCTGACCTTCCAGCTGATCCAATCGATCTTAACAACGAAACAAATCATTTGTTCCCACTCATGGAACGATATGAACTAGCAGATCTCAAATTTTGTGTTGACTAATTAAGAGAATTCTACTACGTCCCAAGCAAACTTCTTGACTCCTACTTTAATCTTCCTTCACCAAAACTCCACCTTTCACCTATATACAAGGACTTACCTCTATATCTTGCCAAACACTTCTCTGTAAACAATAACATTGAGGATTTCAAAAAAGGAGTACAACTTCTTAAAGATAACAACTATGCTGTCAAGCACCTCCCACTTGACTATATCAAAGTAAAACGTCCACTTCCTCCTTCTTATTAATATAGTGAAAATAACTCAATTCCTCTACCAGTGACTACTCAGGAAGAGACCGACAATTTGATCAAGGATCTTAAACAAAAATTCTTCATAAAGCTTCCTCTAGGACCTGAATGGATCAGTGACAACCTGGTTCAATTAAACAAATCCAAACTCCCTGACAATTTTAACATTGTTGAAATAGAACTTAATATCTTCAAAGAGCAAATGAACAGAGATGCACCTGATTTTAAACAAACTATCACAAAAATCAAAAACAAGTATATAGAAGAGATTCCAAGAGAATGGATTACCCCACTTCTCTCAGAGTTGCCAAACCTAGCTGATGTTAACAAACATCTCACTAAAACTAATGCTGACTTTGCACTACCCCTCGTAAATAATCTCCACCTGAATGACAATATTAAAGCCCTAAACAAAATCTTCCACTTCAACAAACTTCCATCTGAATTTATAATCGAACCTGAGTCACCTGAACCAGAGATGACTCTTCTCCCCAAACTTATTTAATGATGAATGCAAACCAGTCCAACTCTCAACCTTCTTTAATTAGCCACCTAACAATACATACCACTTCCAACAACATTTCAAACACATCTCACCAACTATTATCCCCTCAACCCACTCCAAGAATGTCATCAAGAAACCTGATCACTATATCTACTCTCAATGTCCAAGGCCTCTCTCAAAGGGGCAAGCGTAGTGAACTTATTAAAGCAATTACAAATGACAGAAGTATCCTCTGCTGTTCTGAAACAAAAACATCCTCAGGAAACCCACTTCCAAAAAAACTTAACAACTGTACAATCATCTCAAGTGTACCTTCAATCAGTACAAGTAATGGAACCTGTATCATCACTACTAAGTCTATCAGCAACCACATCTTTAATACATTTGCTCAAAACAAATTCTGGTGTACTATCCATCTCAAATTCAAGCCAAAAGTCGATATTATAATAATCTCCTATTATTTGCCACATGAAAGATTAGCAAGAAAACATGCAGTCACTTTCTTAAAAGATATCATTAAAGAACACCAAAAAAACATATTATCTTGGCAGGAGACTTCAATTCTTACCCCCTTAGTTCCCCCTCTATCAACGCTCCTACCATACCACACAAATGAGCCATTTACAGACTTCTTAACAGATTTATAGATGTAGCAAAGGCCACCAACAAGAAAAACATATTCACTCACATCACTAACACAAGTACCTCCAGAATCGACCAAATCTGGATTACGCATGACCTAGCCAGCAAGATTCTAAGCTATAAAGTTGCTGAGCAGGTAGCCATTCCTACTGACCACATGCAAGTAACCACTATTCTCAACTGGTTTGAATACAGATCCAACAGAATTTCATTTTCCACAAACATGTACCAGTTCAATAAAGCTTCTAAGGAACAAATACAAGCAATGCA